TCTGTGATACAGTTTTGTCTCAGCTGAGTTATGAGTACCAATGTTGACATGAGTTGTTATTCAGCAAATGTATTACGGAATCCAAATAGCTTTTCATGAGCATTACTGAGTTTCATCCTGTTTTCTGTATGGTACTGTATATCACAACTTTCTTCTCTAGAGGAGTAATATATGGCCAAGTTCAGTAACTTACATTTTCATTTTTCCCCTTTTGATTTGCTTGCCTAAATTTATACCAGATAGCTACTTTGTTTTCTATTGTGGTTACTAAACATATGGATGGGTAACGAGTACATGATTTAGCCTACAAAGCACTTTCTGTCTCTAATTTAACATTCTCACTTGGATGACATACAGCCGAAGTGTGGCATTTGAGGCCCAATGGCAATTACAGTGCTACTGTTGATTAATATAACGATACTTTTCAAATTGCTTTAGAGTTTGCCTTACCATGGTTTATTTGATTTCATTGTGTTTAAATCTGAATAGTTAAAAAACCCCAGAGAACCTTTGCTTTCTGAGATAAGAATAAAAATATACATTGTTTTTTGTAATGAATCAAAGTTTACATTGTAATTATGCAAACAAATTTCATTGACAGATGCTCTCTGTGATCCAAATCCAAGTTGCATGCTCTCTGTTCAATCTGTCACGAGGATGAACTTTCAGTGTTAATTATGTCTGGGACATATATCAAAAATGAAGTTCATTTTAAGTGAAGGCGCTGTTTTCCTCTACTGTAAATGTAATACCAGGAATCACTAAAACAGGAAATGGCATTTTAGCCATTGTATCTTTTTTATTTAGGCACTTTTGCCGGGAAACACATGCAGTTTTATGGTTTCAGGTATTACTGTCTATTCTTATTACTTTCACCGTGTGTTTACAGCACTGATTCCCCATTGAGCTCCAACCCTGTAGAAATTAATGGATGTATGGCACCCCCATTTTGACGTCATATAGGAACTATGAAACTAACATTCAGAATTGAACTGATCCTTCTCTGAACCTTGCCCTGCGTCTTGTTTCTCTGACCATTGCTTATGTTTCTTGGCCAGGATGTTTCACACAAACATTCCTATCTGGATAAGGGAAGTTGTTGATTGCAGTCTATCACTCCCAACTACTTAAAGATTGTGGAACTTTGAAAATAGTTTATTTACATTGTTGTTTTCTTATCTGTGAATCGAACAGATACACAGATGGTCTCAGTGTAGTACCTTAAAACAACATCTGTTAGTATTCATGATTGCAATAGCAATGGAAAATAGGGCCCAGTTACTCAAGCCAAACAACACTGGTGAAGTGTCTGGCTTATTGTAGACAAAGAATACAAATAACAGCAGCATTAAAGACAGGGCAATATAATGCTAGTAGTAATAATAATAATGATAATAGTAATAATAGTTACTCAATGATTTTGGGATAGGGCTCATTACACGGCTTACCTGGAACTCACTTTGTATATAGCAGGTTAGTCTCATAATCCTCCTACCTCTTTCTCTCATTTTCTGGGGTTACAGGCAGGTGTCACCTGGCGTGGCTGAGGTTCCCTCTTTCATGGTATTCAGGAGTGCTAGCTACTGCTGTGTCTGTTTTGTCCTTTATTGATACACGACTGTAGTATTTAACTGACTTTTCCTCCCATCCACGTTTATTCTTACTTTTGCTTGATCACATCTTTGGTAGTATCTATGTTGATCTTTGTTTCTGTTGTTCGTTAAAATTTTAATTTACTCTTCATATTTTTTTCCAAAATGTCAATTTTCTTGCCGAAAATCCCCCCGTTGCTTAGATTTTTAAAATCAGTATTGCCAATTATTGTATCCAGTTTGTTGGATCATTCAAACTTTGGCTCCTGACTTTCCTCTCTGGTGCCATTGAATCGATCTGCTTTTCTATTTGAGACCACCGATTATTACTACTATTTAATTATGTTTTATTGATTGTTTCAAAATCTCTGTATCTCCGTCTCTCTCATCTCCGAGTCTTTCTATGCCTGCTGTCCCCTTCCTCTATGATCCCTCTACCCCCTTATCCTCCCGTCCCCTCCACCAAAAACCTAACGGGTTCATTTCATTTGGTCCATATACTTACTGGAGCATGGTCAAATTCCCAGTGGTCAGACCCTCACAAGGAGGATGAGACTTAGCCAGAAAGAAATAGAATATCTTGGGGGTAACTCTAACCAAACCAGTGCAGGAGTCATGTGGGAGATGGAGTGAAGATGGCCCCATCTCTTACAGTGAGTGGCACGATTAGGAGCTGCGGCCTTGTTGGAGTGGGTAATGGCCTCGTTGAAGGAAGTGTATGGAGGCTGAGAGAGGTCATTGTGTGAAGCTGTGAAGGATTGCCTTGGAGACATCAAAATGTTGGAGAAGCTAGAGCCAGGGGATGCCTGCCTAGAAAAGCTGTTAACAGGAAGTGGAACCAGCCCAAGAGATAGAAGTGTGTTGTTGTCAACAAAGCTGAAAGGAGTTGGCGACATCAGACATGAAGATACAGAATTTGGAGTTGGCCGTGCTGGTTTCCCATCTTGCTTTGGTCCAGTGTTTCCCCACGGCAATCCTTCCCTCCCTGTGGAACAGTAATGTATATTCTGTGCCACTGTATGTTGGAAGTACATGAACTGCCTTTCCATTTGGATTTTATATGGGATAAAGTTAAGACATTGCCGTGAGTTTCAGAAGAGACTTTGAACTTTAGACTTTTAAGCAATGTTTTAAACAATGCTATTTTACACTATGGAGACACACAACCGGCTAAGGTGTAGAGAAGAAGAGAATGCAGAATACTCAGCCCTAAATGGTACATGTATGTTGTTCTCCTTCCTCTCAAGGCTCAGGGATCATTATGGAACTGTGTTTGTGGAGTGAGTGCTTACTCTAAGAGCCAGAGGCAATGGGAGCCTTATTATAAGCTTTACTTTAATTCCTTTCACAAGTTGAAAACTTAGCAGAGCAGAACCTTGCCCTTTATTGCACTCCATGCAGGGATGCTTCTGGCACAGGCCTGGCCTCAGCAGCTTTCCTGAGTCATGGGGGCAGATTCCATAGTTCCTTTCTTTCATCCTTAGCGGTAAAGCCAGAATCCCGTGGTGGGAGCTGCCGAGTTCTGCTGTGTGCTGGGGCTGGAACAGGGCTCCCTCACTCAACTACGTCTTCACAGCTTTCTATTTTCAATGTTTTCTGTCACTTTCTAAGCTTGGCTATCCTGAAACTCTCTCTTTAGACCAGGCTAGCCTTGACTTAGAGTTCTACCAGCCTCTACTTCCAGAGTGCTGGGATTAAAGATGTATACCACTACGCCATGCTCTAAGCTTTTTAAAAATTCCTTTCACAAGTTAGAAGCTTAGCTGAGTGGTATTTGCTCATCTATCTATCTATCTATCTATCTATCATCTATCTATCATCTATCTATCATCTATCTATCATCTATCTATCATCTATCTATCTATCTTTCTATCATCTATCATCTATCTATCATCTATCTATCTATCATCTATCTATCTATCTATCTATCTATCTATCTATCATCTATCTATCTATCATCTATCTATCTATCATCTATCATCTATCTATCTATCATCTATCATCTATCTATCTATCTATCTATCTATCATCTATCAATCATCTATCTATCATCTGTCTATCTATCTTTCTATCATCTATCTATCATCTATCTATCATCTATCTATCTATCTATCTATCATCTATCTATCTATCATCTATCTATCATCTATCTATCTATCATCTATCTATCATCTATCTATCTATGATCTATCTATCTATCTATCATCTATCTATCATCTATCATCTATCTATCTATCTATCTATCATCTATCTATCTATCTATCAATCATCTATCTATCTATCATCTATCTATCTATCTATCTATCTATCATCTATCTATCATCTATCTA